TCTGAGAATATGACCGCGAACAGGAAGAGAAGGAGCCAGAATAATGAGATTTAACGTTCACTTAATACCCAAAGTTGTATCCAAGAAAAGCGGATAAATCACGGTGTCACAAAATAGCATGTGGGGTTGAGGTTCCTGGGTTATAAAAAAAACGGATAAATTATCTGAATGAGGAAAAAGTTTTATCACTTATGCTTCATGATAAATGGTTAATTTATTTGAAGCATCAAAGCCTAATTTTGTGAAAATTAATTGAAATTCCAACTTTCTCCAAAGTCCATACTAATTAAAATTCTAGATTCCGCCATAGTTCCACCACAATATCACATGGGACAACTTCCGCTCAATATGTCCCACATGAGAGTGATAGTAAAGCGATATAGAAATATATATATTGCCATATTGTTCGGCTAGCGTACACCACCAGGTGTACATTGTCCGATTTTTACTATTTAGAGCATGAATTAACTAGAGTTTGGAGCATGATATTATACCCTATTCTCTAATGAATGAACTTCAGTCCCTAATTCTCTAACCTAAACAACAAGATTCATTTAATCTAAAAATATTAACCGATGGTTCTGATTTAGTGAAATATAATTAAGTGCAAAAACCAAGTTTGAACACAGGCGTACAACGTGCGTCAGGCTCGTATGCTTGTAACACATAATATGTGACAGATTCTCCACACCGTTGATCTAATCTAATGGTGTACATATATTCTAATTAAATCTTTTTTTATACAATGTGTAAAAATTAATTAGTTTCATTACTTTTCTATACGTGAGCTTTAGTCCATATACAATTTTTTCAAATCTTCTTATACTCCCATACCTAATTTTCTTTTAATCATAATTGAACACCCGATTTTTGTAATTGTGTTTCTGATCATCAAGGTACTTGATTTTTTCCTCAGTTGGGAAGATGTAATCCCAGAGCTGTCGTTTCATCTCCAAATCCCCCTTTCCCTTTTGTCATTCATCGGTGACTGACGAACCCTCTCCTCTCCTCTCCTCCTTTGACTATCCAACCAATTCTCCTCCCACGACTTCTTCAATCGCCGAGCACTGGATTTTCCGTGCTTCTCGTCCCTATATCCGGGGAATAATCGATTAGGGTATGGTTTGTTAGAGGACTGATGGATTGAATCGTCGGTTCGAGTGGTGGATGAGGAAAGGGCTGACGGAAGCTAAAATTTTACATTCCGAATCTGAACCCGAACGTCTCCTGACAAAATCGATGGGGATGGCGGGGATGGATAAAGAGCTGATCGAAAGCTGAAATTTTACAATCCGAATCCAAACCCGAACGTCTCCAGGCAAAATCAATGGGGATGGCGAGGATGGGCGAAGGGCTGATAGGCAAAGTTGTTGAAGCCAGTTTGAGAAGAGATCATTGCTGGAATTGCAGAAGTTTGAGTTAGGAAGTTACGCCTTCCGCATCGCAAAGCTTGCTAGGAGTGAAAACCCCTGCCTGATTATATTCGTCTGCAATCAGCAAGCACTAGGGCATCCAAATCTTGAATAGCCAGTTAACTAGGCGGGGGACTAAAAAATTGCTTGATTGAAAAGGGAGTGAGTGAAGAATCATGAAAAGGAAGCCATAATGAAAGAGATGGTAAGTACGGCGACAAAAATTGTGTTTTCATGTTTTTTAGTTTGAAGTGAAAATTCATCCTTGTGTATCGGAAGAAGCTTCCAACCTTCATTGCTCCGATTGCTGTTCATTATTTGCTTAATTCGACTGGGCATACTTGTTTAAACTTGTTGTCTAAGAACAGTACTGTATTCTTTCTTTCACCTTGGCATTGTTTTGACTTTGTATTTCTAGAAGGTTATTTTCTGATTTTGGCCCTCGACGTAGTTCAAGACTTGCTGCAGATGCAGCAGGCAACTCAAATGCAATCACCACATCATTTGCGGGGAATGATAAACGCAATTCTACTAAGTTTCTTGGAGGTTCCAAGTTGGGCTCCATGGTTATTTGTTCTGTAACCCTTCGTAATGGACAACCTTGGGCCAACAAAAATTATGATGAAGGTGTTGATCCAGGTTTTGTCTTGCTGATTTAATGGACAAACTTGTGTATTTTGATTAAAGTTGTTGTTACCGGAAGCTCCACTCTTCCCACATTGGAAGTGATAGAGGAAGATAGAAAACATAAATGAGGGGGGTTTTTTATACTGACCACATTTTTTGTGATTCTTGGTTCTGCCTAGACAAAATGATAACTAGGTGGCCTAAGCTGGGTCTGTAAATCGATCTAAGGCTGAAAATAATTTAGGAATTTTGACCTCCGATAAGAAAGAGGAAAAACAAAAGGAAGGAAGTCGATGAAGAGCGGAAGGAGCTGAAGGAGTTCTTCCTCGACCTGCTCTAAGATTGGGTGAAGGATTTTATTACTTCTTTTAAAAGACGTCTGATGCCTTCCTCCACAACGAGAATGGGCTCAGAAACACTTAAGCCCAATTTACAAAGAAGCCAAAAATTATTAAATAAATATGAGCTAATGGAAAGTAACAGAAGCCTCTTATCTAATAGATGATGACTGGGCTTCGACGGTTAAGAAAGCCCAAAGAAAGTTTAAACAAAATATTCTGCTTTTAGCAGACTTGAGAGGTTATATGCCCCAATGAATCAATTCCGATCAAAGCACTCAACACGAACACCTCTGTACAATAACAAGCTGAGAAACCCATAAGGCAGAGCAAGGAACAAGAAGAACTGAAACAGAGCTACGCATCAGAAAATAACTAGTCAGGGACCCGGTCAGTTGGCCGAATACAATCTTCAATCGCGTTAATTTTTTTTTTGATGGTTAATCAAAATTGCATTGAAAGCCCAGGGAGATGCAACTCGCATCACCCTCTCAAAAGATCAACATTCTTTACACAGTAAACCTATACTAATCTCTATGCCAACCAAAAGAAACCAAAACCCTTTCAGCTCATTACAACTGATGCCATTTTCTGTAATTCTATAGTACTACTAGCATATATCTCGAACTCCTGCATAACAGCAACTGAAAGTTGAGAAGGGTCTGAAATTCGCTTGACTCCATAGACGCGAGTGCATCTTTCCCTCCAAATGTAAGCACAGCACATCACCCACAATAACCGCCCAATCTTAGCAGCCGAAGTTGTACCCGACCATCTCTGCACCACCCAGCTCAAATGGGAACTCCAATCTGTGAAATCCGGCCACCTGCAAATTTTCTTCAACACAACTTGAAAGACAGCTTTACTAAACGAACACAAGGAAAAAAGATGATCCCTGCTTTCAAGTCCACCAGGGCATAAAACACAACTATTCACATCTGTCAAGCCCCAGCTAGCAAGGTGATCCTTCGTAGTAATTCTATCTAGAACCACCAACCAGACCAACAGACTGTGCTTCATTATAAATGGCTTACCCCATAACACAGAGAACCAGTCAACTGAAGGGGAGGGGATACGTATGGAATTCCAAACAGTCTTAACTGAATACTTCACCAACTTCTGTCCATCCCAAGTCAGGCTACTTCCTGTCCCATTCACATGAGCATGAGCCACTTCCCTGCATTTAAGGACCTTCTTCCACACCCATGAGCTTACAGAGTTTGCAGCAATCCCCCATAAATCATTCCCTTTGATCCTATACTTCTGGATCCAAGCAACCCATAGTGAAATCGCGTTAATTCAGTAGCATGCGAGATACGTATATATTTGGTAGTAGGGTTAATACCCTCGTTTGGCACGAAGTATAGCGTTAGTGACATTTCTGGCCCCATTTTTCAAATAAGACATTTCTGGCCCACTTTTGAAATTATCGGACAAATTTGGCATGTGGGACGGGTTGACTGTCAGATTTGACGGTCAACCATTTTCTCCGTTGCTGACTCAGCACTCGACTCTGACGTGGCTTGTCCACACCATTTCTAATTTTTTCTTTAAAAAAAAATTAAGGGAAGGGAGACACCAGGACCACACCATACCCTTTCCCCTTTCACCTTTCCCCTTTCACCTTTACCCTTTACCCTTTCCCCTTTCCCCTTCGATCGTGCGAAACCCCACCATACCAGAAAAACGATCGGAGGGGCAGCCCTCGCCACCAGCCCTTGCCGCCGCCAATCGCCACCGCCAATCTTACCCATCCCTTTCATTCGACCTTCTTCCTCCTGAAACCCCACCCGCTCGTATCCCCTTCCCCGATCTTCTACAGAAACGGAATCCGACCCAAATCGGAGTGCATGGCACTCGATTGCCCTCTTCGTCGGCCCGAATCTTGAAACCCCACTCGATTCTCCCCATCGTCGGCTCGTATCCCCTTCCCCGACCTTCTTCCTTCTGTGAAACCCCACCCGCTCGTATCCCCTTCCCCATCCTTATCCCCTTACTTTCCCTTCATCTTTGCCTCCTAACCCAGCCCGATCGAGTCACCGCCGATCAGAATCGAGTGCGCGGCCTGGCCGACCCTTTCTTGGCCGCGCCGCATTTCTTTTCCCTCTCCCGTCTTCCGCCTGCGATAAACTAGTCCCCTGTGCAGTGTTTTTCTTGTGGGACCAGTCGAGCAAGGAGGGACCAGTCGAGCAACTGGTCCTCTGTGCAGTGTTTTTCTTGTGCGACCAGTCGAGCAAGGAGGGACCAGTCGAGCAATACGAAATTAGCTTTTGAGCTGAAATAGGTAATGTTCTGAATGTCGTTTTCTACACTTTATCTTATTGGAATCGAATTTGGGAAAGTGCAGAAGTGAATAAACAATGTCCCTTTTTGTATCTTTTCTATTTAGGGATTCTGAGAACTCGGTAAATAATACTAAAGTGCTTGTTTGTATGTGAATAAACAATGTCCATTTCTGTTCCTTTTCTGTTTAGGGATTCTGAGTATCCAACACTAAAGTGCTTGTTTGTATGTGAATAAACAATGTCCCTTTCAATAAACAAGGGTTTTCGAACACTAAATGACCCCATTTTTTGCCCAAATTTTCAGGATGAGTATCGACTTTTTATTTCATCATGGGGGAATGATGGATACAGCGGGTGAGGTACCGATATATGTTGGAGGGGATGTCGACCGAGTTCAGCTGCTTGTTGATCAAATATCATATTTTGAGTTGGTGAGTACATTGATCGAGGATTTAGAGTATTCGTCGGTGGAAAGGGTGTGGTATTTGACTCCGGGACAAAGTATGGAACATGGGCTGCACGAGATACGCACTGATGCCGACGTTATTAATGGTTTACTTGTGGTTGCCGAGCTAGGAGAGGTGTCTTTGTTTTTTGAAGCAACTAAGTTCATTCATGAGATGGGAGACAACTATGGGCATAGCGAGGAGGTTGAAGATGAAGATGATGCTCAAAATGGTGTTGGTGTGGTTGCTACAAGGCATCACAATATAGTCCATTGCTCCAGGTGTGGGGGTGAAGGCCATAACAAAAGGAGTTGCACAAATCCACCTGCACCACAGCCAGCTCCTCCAGCTAGTAAAAGGCAGAAACGAGGGGAAACAAAGGGAGGAGATGCTGCCCCACAGAATGCAGCGGCTGCACCTAACAATGGGGTAAGTCAATTCGTACTATGCTCCTCAAATTTCATGTGTTGTGTTAATAGAGTAGTTAGATCTGAATTTAATTGTCTTTCAGCAGAGAGTTAGAAAAAGGCCTCAGTGTTCTAGATGTGGGGCTTTTAATCACAACTCGAAGACTTGTCCGTTGAGGGTTGGAGTTCAGGTAAGATGTCAGTTGGACTTTATAAGGATGCAGATTTGTCAATGAATGCAACTTATTATGTCTTTGCTGATTTTTCTTACAGATTGAAAGCTTTGTGAATGAATGCAACTTATCATGTTTTTGCTGATTTTTCTTACAGATTGAAAGCATGGGCACTTGTAGCAGGCAACAAATGGAACGGGAAGTGCGGAGGGCTGCACAAGGAATCGGCGTTTATATTGATCCTACTTCTGGAAACATGTATTCTCGGGTTAGCTGCTATCTTTTAAAACTCTATTTGGCCTGAAGATTGCCTTCTTAGGTGAAAATAATGCTCATTATTGCCTGATATTGCAGATGAGTACTAGAGTTCCACAACAAGGAGGTAGAAGGGAACCAAATGAACCAGATCATCCGCCAATGAACAGTACTCAACCTCCATCGACTCAACCCGAGACACAGTAAACAAGCAAGGGTGGATATGATGAACCAAGAAAATGACATCTCTCTTCTTTTGTATTTTGAACATGTAATAGGCATGTGTTAGGGAATGTCTAGACTCGCGTATGGAACATGGTTTATGCAGTTTTCAGACATTAACTTGTGTAGTTGTGTTCATTAACTTGTTTCCATGTTATGAACTTGTTTCCAGGTTATGTCACCTTGTGTTCATGCTGAATTTAGGTTATGAAATTGTATGTTTGTGTTCATGAACTTGTTTCCAGGTTATGGTATCTGCAGGCAAACGAACTACAACTTCACTGGATTACAAGCAAACAAACTTTAACTTCAATGCATTACAATCTAACAAACTAGAACTTCACTGCATTACAATCTAACAAAGATGAACCTCACTGCATTACAAGCTAACTCGACAACTACTGCAATCAAACTAGCTCAACTTGAAGCTAGCTCGACAACTACTGCATTACACACGTTTTACTTTTACCCACGTAGGAGCCAACTGATAGAGTATAAAACAAACAGCAAACTAATACCGATATAACAATGATTCACCCTACTCTGAAGTTTACAAACAGTATGCCCCAAATTCTCCAATTCAAGACAGCTTCGAGCACTTGTAGCAGCAATTTTTTCAAACTCTTCGACCATATCAAACTTTTTTTTCTTCCTCTTCTCAACCTTTTCTTCAACATCACTAATACGACATTCAATTCCTTGAGTTAAAGTGACAATCTCAGCTTCCATCTCACAGATTCTCGATTTCAACAGAGCATTCTCCTCCATAAAAGATTCAAGCACACTTGAATTTGCTGATGTTCTCCGATCACACCACTTAAAATGACGACAACCTTCCTTAGCATCCTACATGAAGGAACTTGATTCAATTAAAAGAAGAATACCATTGCGGCAACAAATTGAGACTTATCGGCAAACATACCTGCCAATACGCGCAGGAATAGAACATTCTCCCCGGATTGTCCTCTGTTCTAGACATCTGCACAATACATGGAACATTGTGCTTGCACCTCTCGATGGGTATGTTGGTAGAACTCGAACGCGCTGAACTTCCCCCTCCCCTCCTTTTAGCAGATGACATGGCTGCTTCCTCTCGATGGGTTGGCGACGAAGAGGCTTCGCAGGCGACGAGGGAAGCCTACGAAAGGGCTGGCCGGCCGCGCAATCGATTCTGAATGGCGGTGTGTCGATTGGGCTCTGTGACGAGGGAAGGCGACGAACAGGAAGAAGATTGGCGGCGGCGAGGGCTGGCGGCGAGGGTTGCCTCCGATCGTTTTTCTGGTATGGTGGGGTTTCGCACGATCGAAGGGGAAAGGGGAAAGGGTAAAGGGTAAAGGGGAAAAGTGAAAGGGGGAAGGGTAAAGGGGAAGGGTAGGGCTGCTGTGGTCCTGGTGTCTCCCTTCCCTTTAAGTTTTTTTTTAAGTAAAAATTAGTAAATGGCGTGGACAAGCCACGTCAGAGTCGAGTGCTGAGTCAGCAACGGAGAAAATGGTTGACCATCAAATCTGACAGTCAACCCGTCCCACAGGCCAAATCTGTCCGATAATTTCAAAAGTGGGCCATAGATGTCTTATTTGAAAAATGGGGTCAAAACTGTCATTAACGCTATACTTCGTGCCAAACGAGGGTATTAAACCTTGGTAGTATAATAAAATCTAAATTATTCAAATGGATTAGTAATATTAGAGAATCCAAATTGTTATAGGTCTTTAACTATTCAAAAGAATTAACATTATAGTTTGTTCCTACATTCTAACAGACGCATAAACTAAAATTATGTAAAAAACGAAAGACAAACCTCATGTAAGGTAGCCGACTCATACAAAAAATGAAAATCAACATTTTATTTACTCCTCATTTTCAAGATTACTGAATGTTTTTTTTAGACTTGTTTGTGTTTCCTCGACCATGAGTAACATCATCATCTCCACTAATAACAATATATTCATCTCCTTTGTAAAACATTTATCTCCATTACCAATTGCCTCTTTTTTTCCTCTTGGATTTTAATAGTCTCTTCTTTGTTTTCCTGCACTTCATTTAGCACAAAAATTTAATGGTAATGTATGACAAATACAAATCATCTATTTTATTGGGGTAGAATCCACTTCGTCCAAATAATCAACTACATACATCCATGATATTTTCTTGCTCCCCATCACCGTACCTATATCTCCCTCGCGAAAAAGTCTTCCTTTTTCTCAACAACACATCATCATCTCTAGTATCAGATCCGTTAAACAGTCTCATTCTTGTTCTCATCAATTAGCATTGTGAATCTATCTATCTATCTATCTATCTATCTATCTATCTATCTATCTATATCTATCTATCTATACTTAATATTATGGTTATTCAAAAATAACTTCTTGCCACATAAGCACTTGGTGAATTCACAAGATGCCAAGGTGGACAATTTTTTTACAAACAAAAATTTATTTATTGATCTATTTATGAAGCTATCTCTCTCTTCTTTTAATAATTCTACTCATTTTTACTAAAACTTAAAATAAGTTACTTTTTTGTGAAACATTTAAACAAACAAACACATAAGTAATAATTTTTTTTTTCAATTAAACAAACTATAAAGATGAAAATAGAGAGTGACATATATCGTGTTTGTTTAACCCAAAAATATCTTATTAAATCTCATTAAGTAAATTTTATATTCATTTTTACTAAAATATATTATAATAAGTTACATTTTGATGAAAAAAACAAGCACACATATGAATAATAATAATTTTTCAATTAAAAAATTTATACGATGGCCTAAGAGAAAATAAGTGTTTGAAAATCAATCGACTTTGAAAAATGAACTATATGACTATATTATTTTGCGATCGAACACTCAATTCTTCCTAATGCATATACTTATAAAATAAAAATAAAAAGAATAATTTATATAGAAAAAAGACTGATGTTAAACTTGGCAGAGCAATAATTGTTGTTTTTTTAAACACTTCTTATTCATTCAGATTAAATGAAAATATATTAATTATAAATGCAACCTTTTAATTTATCTCTACCCTTTTCCCATTTTGATTGTCTCTATAAATAAAATCCAAATATTGAAAATAAGAAATTAGATAGAGAAAGAGATGGTAATGCATATGAAGTTTTATTTTTCTTTGTAGGATAATAGGAGGAGGGAGGTAGACGAGGCAACGACTATATGGTAAAATTTTGAGCAGTTGTAACATATTTTGTTTGTTGATGAAAACTGTTCATCATATCATTGCGAAGACGAGGTGAACCAAACCTAGGATTGTCGACTGCTCCCTCTTCCTCCTTGATCTGAAGCTGGCAACTGCTCACTCTTCTTTCAATTCTTTTCTTAATTTCTTCCAAATTAAGACTGTTGGATGGTAAATTTCCCCACTCGATGAGCGAATTTATTTCTTCTTCGTTTTCATGGAGTTGTTTTATGTTCTCTATTACGTCTTATACTAATAGGTAATATATAAGTAGAAGGGATAATTGATTGGACTTAGGGCATATCTCCTTTGGTGGAATAATTGATCGTTTTCCTTAAATGGCTATTGCAACCCGATTGCTTAGATGTTGAAATGAAAAGTAGAGTTGTTAGGGTTGTTCATTATATTCTTTATGTTCATGATTGACATGCTACTAGCTAGCTATAAGATGATGATCTGGTTAGTAATTAGTAGGTAGCAAAGGGATTATAGTAGAAGGGACCATAATTGGGGTTTTATAAAGGTTGTGAAGAAGAAATAAAATGATGGTGGTGGTTCCTCGGTTGGGTATTTCGATGTTTTTTCAATTTCTACACGTTTGCAATAACATATGTTTGTTTCATTAGGGTGGATTTTTTCTCATTGAATCACTAACTAAAGTCTGATTTTGACATGATTGTTTTTTACCAACTACCATTTGGATTGGTGCATAAATTCAGTTCACAAATTAGGAATCTGCAAGATAGAATGAGTTGAGTTATATTGAAGTACTCCTTTCATTATTTGTCTATGTTGTTATTAGGTTAAAAAGCACAAGTTTTTTTGCATGAGATATGTAGCTCTCTATAAAATATAAATTGTGTTGATATGCAGTTTAGTTTACTGAAAATATTGTTTCAATAAATAAGTGACAACTGATAATTCTGTTTGTGGTTGGTTTTTTTAGAACATTGCCAAGATAAATTAAATGAGTATGCGAAAGATTGATGGAGGTGGATGCTAATGTGTTTCATTATTATTCCAGAATTGCAGGTGTAACTTATAATACACGATATTCGAGGATCTAGATCGGAATATTCTCTATTATCATATACGGACATATGAGAAGGGAAAGAAAATGAAAAGCTCTTAGCTTTTTTTTTAGTAATTGAAGCATATTTTCTTATTAAACTTTTTTGTTTGTGGCCTTAAATTTTTTAACTTCTTTATCACTTTTTTTAGTTTGATACAAAAAATTTAAATCGATAAAAAAAATTTAAAGAGAGCTT